TGGTGTTCCAAGTGGCAACAGGGGATCTGAGGTCAGCAACAGTGACCTCAGTTCTCCAAAAAATGTGATAAAGGTCAGAAAATGGGTCTGAGTTTCTTAACTCAGTGATACTGTGTTGCAAGTAAGGACATATTTTTGTGTTGAATCATTAGCCCAAGCTTCTTTTAATAGTAAGTGCGTGTGGGTGTTTTTTTTTTTTTTTACCCCCTCTCCATTTTATTTATATATCTATAAATTTCATACTCCCCTGCCTATTCCAGAAGATGAAAGGTCAAGAAAACATTTGGTCACTGTCTTATAAGTTAAGAGCTTTAAAAATCGTTTTCAATTCTGCTAATAGCATTTCTTCTTGGGCGTAAGCAGTATGAGGCATCCGTCTGATTTAGCATTAATAGACTTAAAATGGTAAGAGAGGTGTTGTATTCAGAAAATGTTTCTGCATTGTAGGCCAAAGCAAACGCAAACGAAATACAACTAAATCAGATGAGACTGTGGATGTGAGCCCCCTCGGAGCGATGCTGTGTAGCTTGGGGATTCACTTTCGGCAAAACTGCTGGACTAGCAGGAACCAAGGGAAGCCATAGAATAAATAATTGCTATTCCTTTGCTAAATAGCAACAGAATTGAGACTTTTTTATTGAATTCCCTCTTAACTCTATGGAGTTTCTCTCAGAATTGGCTGTGTATCTTCCAGCTGAATAGTGGTTGGTTTTGAAATGCTGGTAACTACTCCGGTGACCAGCTACATCCTCATGTAGTGCCCTTCAGAAAATACAGATCTTGTACAAAGACCGGGGGGATCCTTTCTGTTTGTCTCCTGCGTTTGGGTATGTTTATAACAAGTTACAGCTTGCTAATTAACGTACTTTGTCCATGGAGACTATTGGTTGTGATAAGGCACTAGCTTGATTTCTTCCTGTAGATTGCATTTTAAGGAAAAATACAGTCTTTTTTCCCCATAGTGTCCAAATACTGCACCGTCTTAGATATGTCCTTCAGCAGTCACCGTGTTTTGTCTAGTCTGCAGTGTGTGTAACTGCTGTTTTGTCCAGCTGGTGGCACTGTGTGGCAGCCTGACACGAATCAGGTAGGGACGTCAGGTGGAAGCAGTCCCGGAATCAGCCCTCAGCAAGCGGCCTGGCAGGAAAAGGGTCCCCCCTTCCCCGTCCTGCGCGGCAGAGCGCGGGGTCGGCCCTTACGTGGGAGCGCAGCTGCTCCTGGAAAGCTCAGCCCTGGAAGGGACTTCCCAACACACTACTGACACTTGTGAAGAGACCCCCCTGTTGGGACTGTTGCTTTGGAGTGCTGGGAAAGGTACCATTTTAGTGCAACAGCCCAAGTGTGTGTAAAAATAAGGCTCTAGATTAAGTTACTGCAAAGGAAGGAAAGAATTAATAGAAATGTAAGAAACTACCGTGAGCTTTAAAAATAGCTCCAAACCAAACTTTCTTTATGGGGATAATCTACTCAGAGATGATGACTCATAACAACCCTTGATATCCAGGTTGTTGAAACAGTGTTTTCATCAGGGTAACCATTGAAAACATGTTGCTCAATGCTGGAGGAAAGCCAGTGTTTTGACAAGTAAAGAATGTACTGTTCAAATAAAAATGGGTAGAGATTTGTGGGAAATAGTACAGAAAGTTGTTACTGCTTCTGCTTCTCAGCTTCTGCATGGCATCATTACCTTACAGAGATTCACTTCAGCACACGGGCTTGCTGAAGAGGAGCCCCTCTGCTTGCTCTTCCTTGGGCTTAGGCTAATGCAGCAGCATTTCTACCAGCAGCTGTGCAAGCCCTGCTCACCCCATGATTTCAAGTGATAACTGTGTATTAAGCAAACAAGACAGTTACTTATCTTCGTTATTTTTGTTGACACCTCTCAGTCTCAGGGCTATTTGTGTCAGTGCATGTTCAGCAGACTGGAGAGAATAGCACTGGCACTGGCAGGTATGACAGATGGGACTGGTAATATAAGTAGCTGATACAGAAGCTTCTTGACTTTAAAAAAAAGAAAAAAAAAAGTGAGTCAAAATTGCCATGCATTAGAAGCATTATTTGAAATTATATGAAATGTTATATCATTTGGTTCATGGACTAGAAAAGGACCTTTTGGCTAAAGAAATGCCTCTCCTTTGCTATGCAGGCTGCTCTCTAAGCTAATAGCAGCAGCAGTAGTATTGCTCTAGGGAGGCTTTTCCTCTTATTCTATTCTAAATTTGTGAATGATCATTTTATGCTCCCTTGCCCTTACCTCAGCATTGTCTTTTCACTAAAATAATCCCCTTCCAGGCACACTCGCAGTGGTGTTTGTCATCTTGAAGTGGTTATAGGTACTAGTGATTCTTTAATAAATAAACCATCGTTCTTGGGTTCTTGATCATCTTAGTTGTCTTATTTACCTCCTCAAATCTGAAAGGTGTAATGACAGGATCTTTGAGAAGTCCCAAAATGTCTTGTGTATTGATACTATATTTCTTATTTCTTGAAAATCTACTTTATCTGATAACAGAGCACTGTGTGTGTGTCTCACATTTGTATGGAGTGATAGTCATGCACAACCAGAGGTTCTATAAATACTGTTTCACCACTTTAGATACAGGTATTTGTCAAGGATAGAAGTTTTTTAATAAAATTCTTATGCCTCTGTATACTTTTACATTTCTCAAGGGATGTGTTGCAAATTGTATATTTATTTTTTTCCACAAGATGCTGTCGTCTTTGGATGCACGTTAGACCTGATCTCTCTCAGATTCTGTTTACCTTGTATCTCCTCAATTGCTGCTTGCATGAGCCCGTTACTTTAAAATTAGGTGTGAAACTTTGTTTTGTATGGAAGGCATAGCTCAAAAATCTCTTCTTGTAAGAAGCAGGCAAGGCAGATAGCCAGAGCAGTGATATGTAAGTGTGTGTCTCAGATACTGCTTCGTGAGTAAGTTTTGCCTGTTTCTTCAGGGAGTTGTGTGGTTTGTAGTGCAAACCAAAATTACATCCCTTAAGATCATGTCTCCTTTTATCACCCAACATGTACCCTCTGCTGAAATTATCACTTGGCACTTTCTTGCCTGGGGCACTATTGTTTAAAAACAAGTGTTTGAAGAAAACAAAGAAAAAATCCACCTAACCTAAGCCTATCCGTGCATTACAGCTTCTTACTTGCCAAGAAAGAAGCCAGGGGGTGCAATATATTGTTATTTTGTATGATTTCACCAGCTAAACTTCTGAGGATGCCGGTGAAGACTAGAGAAGTGCTTATTTTAAGTAAAACTTGCACATTTCCAGCTTAGATAATCAGAAGAAAAATGAGAATTGTCTTTCAGGCAGGGCTAAAATTATGATAATTACTGTAACTATTTGAGAGCTAGTAGAAGGTGATTCATATTCAAATGCATTCAGAGTGCAGGCAACTGGGTTTAGGCCTTGCGTTCAAGAGAGAAAATATTTCATTCTAGTTCTGCATATGCTCTTACTTTGCGTGTGCAATGCCCTGAGGATCCCGAAATGGTGAAATTAGCACTGCTTTGAGCAGAAAGTTGGATGAAATGTCATACAGAATTCCTTGACAACCTTTTTATTATTATTTTAAGATAATCTAGTTCAGACCACTTTCTAAGTACACTAAGCTAAATCTCCAAGAGGCTTCTCATAAAACCAAACAGAAGTATCCACATTAAAAGTTACGTTAAAATACCTGTTGTCCTTTATATTCATACTAATTTCATTTTAGCCTCTCTAGGTTCAGTGACTTTTTAACACATAGAAGCTTTAGTAGCTGCAGTAATTTTCTCAGCCTAATTGTAGACAGCTTGCTTTGAAACTTGCT